GATATATATATACAGCAGCCAACAGCTTATCCTTTCATAATTTGGATTTTTAGTATTTTAAATTTTTTACTAATTTTTTTGATGTGTTTTTGTTTTGGCCACAATGTCTGAGTTGAACATGGTGCTGCTGTGCACCTTCTGAGCTGAACAGATTTATCGATTGCCGGCATCGTGAACCGTTTGTGCAGAGCTTCTGACATTTGCATCCGTTATGCGAGAAGTTACGAAGACTCAGTCGCCAGATACATTTGTGGTTCGCCAAGACGTGGTGTGTGCTGATGATCAAGGAACGCAATCACTGCCTGTCGATTCAGGCGGGCAGAGAGGCTCACCTGGCTTTCCAGCAGGTATACAAGCAAGGCCAGATGTGATTAGGGCGGAGAGTCAAGGTGATCTATCGCCAGCCCTCTGTTCTGTTCGCCCAGAAAGCTCATCAGTGTCTCTGCCTCAACCATTGATCGCCCAGATGCCGGGTCCTTTGGGAGTCAAGGTGTGTAATGGATCCCAAAATTTTGCTTTGTCCTCCTGTGTCTCTGCTTATATTTTGTTGTGAGCTAGAGGAACACCATTGGGTTCCCCATCCCCAGCACCATGGAAACTGAGACGCGCTTGTCTTGCTACGTTTCTTTGCCTCCACATCATAGTATGCCCCTTGATCTTTTGTCTTTTGACGTTCATATTTGGCAGGACCTGGACAATTGAGAAAGTAACAGTAATGAAACAAGTGCGGCCGGGACATCTGTTGAAATTGGAGCGATACAGAGAAGATGTGCAAGGATGACACGCACAAATCGAGAAATTGTTCAAAACAACGACAACAACAACAACAACAACAACAACAACAACAACAAGAAACAACTGCGACCGCATCAGGTTTTGAGTTTCAAAAGGCAAAAAAAACTGATGTGAGCAGGTCTGTCGCAGCACGAGTTTCAAATGGGCAACAAAAAATAAAAAGGAAGTTCGCACACGATGGTGGCCCACCTGCAAAAACCCTGACCTTCCTGTTCCGAAACTTGCGCTGTGTTTTTAACTTTTTATAATTAGTATTATTGCCTTGTCAAACTTGCCACCTGACTGACCTGCCGAGACTCAATCGTGACTGAAACGTACTTGCCCCAGGAGACCTCCAATGATAAAGGGGTTGGATGCTTTGCGGTGGGGGAAAAAAAAAAAAGAAGAAGAAGAAGAAGGAACTACAGACCTAAGTTCAAATCCAGACGAGGGAGCTAGATAAATGAAACCAAATATTTGAATATTATATTTCTGAATTACTTGGGGCCGCTCAGATCAATGACTATATTGCAAGGTCATCGTCGCCCTCAGAACCATCACCTTTTAAGGTTGTCAGCAGGCAGCAGGAGACTAACTAAAGTACCCAGGACTACCCAATAAGCCAGAAAAATGCTATGAAACCAGCAATCCTACTGCATGGAATATGAATGTGAACGATATACAGAAAACCGAGTTGCGAAATCACACAGATGTCCGAGTAGTCGTGTACAAGCAGAGAGCACAAACGCACCGAGAATCCATCCAAATTGAGCAATACAATGAAGTAATGAGCCAATGTTCAAGCCCTCAGGCCACACCAACACAGTATCCAGTGTCGCTCTTCTCTGTCTGGCGCCTAGCACCCAGCCTACTCTACTCGACTATCCTACCTACAGCTGTATTCACGCAACAGGCTCACTTCGACTCTCGAAGACCAATCTACATGATGTCAACACCATAGCCAACCTCTCTTCATGCACCAGGTACGTATCTCGTCACCTTCATCAGATCTTGATCACCCACACACTCGCCTCCTTCCTGAAGACCACCAATCGCCCTTTTACCCCTAGCGCCCAGCAGCCCGGCGATGGCTGCCAGCGCTCCGCTGCCCAACCTCACCTCAACGTACCCCGCAAGCGCACTGGCTGCAACGCAGCATCCAATGCAGCAGCGCAGTAGCGTGACCGCATTGCCTGCGTGGGCCAGAATGCTTGGCCTGGGCTGCCTCACTTCCTATATGGAAGTGGCAGCCTCCTGGATGCTGTGTGTGGCCTGGCTGGGAAGCTTCCGATAGCTTCCAGGCAGGCCCCAACCTGCACCCAGGCCCAGCTTGGGAGTTGGTGGCCTGGGCCCCTTTACAGTTGGGCACTTGCATTATTTCAGACCGGGGCGGTTTGCTGCACCTACACAGGACCCCGGGGCATGTTCGTCGACAGTGCTGCTTTTCCACAGGCCCGAAGCCAATCCGTAATGTATTCGGCCCTGCATTGCATGTATGTGCCCAGGCGCAACCCACAAGGCCTGGGCCAACTGTACGACGCAGCTTAGTGAGGCTCACGCGTTCATTCAACCAACTAGCGTGCTGCCACAGCCTGCATACCCACATATAGAAAATGTCGAATTTTGGCCTTGAGTGAATATTCAGGCCCGCCTTCACTTAGGGCGGGCACTGGGCTTTCTGAGGGCCTCTGCTTTGAACATATGCATGTCTGATAAGGCCCCGCGAGGGCTCATTCCTCACACTACGTTGTTTCTACAGTTCATAAATGTAGCAACTGAGCTAGGCTCGCAAGACGTCCAGCAATTGTTAGGATCTGTTACTTACCGCAAAGCTTGCTCACGGATTCATACTGAGAAAAAAAAAAAAAAAAAACTGCATATCTGAAATAAAACAGACCCTTTTGTGACAAAACGAAGGCGGCAGTTGGGTTCACTTTTTTCCTTGGAATGAGATCCATCCACTTTGACAGCTTCAATCCCTATGGGCCATGGCAGTTATTGTGTGTGTTGCTGCGTCGGAACAGGCTCGTCACAATTGTCACACATCAAATGAGGACCTACTGGTTACTGCCAAAATGAAATGGACAGGAAAACAACAACAAAGGCACAACACACCCAGAGCAAATCTGTGCAAACAAAAAGATGAACGCAGCACTAGAACGAAGGTACTATGTGGAGATGAACAGCTGGAAGCAGCTGTGCACAGGATGAGGAGGACAGAGATTGGCAGGGAAGAGAGAAGAACAGTTGGGAGCAGTATTAAGGGACAGGTTGCAGCCTCTCTCTCTCTATTCACAAGCACAATTCGTTGTGGGGACGAAGGTAAATAGTAATGCATGGAACACACACACACACACGCAGAGGGGCAGGGTGGGGCGGGGTGGGGGGAGAGAGAGAGAGAGAGAGAGAGAGAGAGAGAGAGAGAGAGAGAGAGAGAGAGAGAGAGAGAGAGAGAGAGAGAGAGAGATTTCCGGGCGTGATCTCATGGAAAGGGGGATATTTTGTCATTCTGTTTATTGGTCTTATTGCAGGGTGAAGAGGGTGGAACATCAGACAAGTTTTCAGCAATGGAGAGCGAGTTGCAAACTGGTCTGCTACTCATTTAAATGAAATCATACTCCTTGTGCACACATGTTTGTTGGTTGTTTTGAGATGTGTGAGACCATGACTTGTGAAAACGATGGCAATCATCAGGCAATGACAATAATTGGACGTATGCATCACAATATGCAAGATGTATTAGGCTTTACTATCACAGAGAATACATCTTCCAATGAGTCGCGCCACGTACGACCGTCACCCTTCTGCCTATCTCTGCTTCCAACGTGTTTGTTTTAACTTTGAAAAGTATGCCAATGCTGATTGTGAAACATTGCCATTGCTGTATAGTGCGGGGTTGTAAGACCATGATATCATGACACTCTCTGGTAGAGGATGGGAACGATAACAATGAGACTCTTTCTGGGACTAGAATGATCATCAATCTTCTTTTCTGTGGTGAATGAAAGCATGTTGAGGACACCAAAAGCCTGTGGCTGAATGTACACATGCAATTGTTGATAAACAGATCATGAGTTCAAATCCTGATGCATAGTATTGGATACAATAATAAAGAGCAGCCTTGGTTTATTGTGGCCGTTTTTTCCCATATTATGCTTGCCGGTGATAAGCAACCAGGCTAATGCCCTCCCAGAATATAACGAGGGCTGTGTTTGTATAATAATAATAATAATAATAATAATAATAATAATAATAATAATAATAATAATAATGATAATAATATCAGTGTCAAAGGATTCACCCATCTTAGCACCCGGTCCCGGTGCCCAGTCCCAATTTGCCATGCACGTAGGCCCCACCGTAGGCTGTCCTCTATAGGTTAGGCGTGTCCGTACTAGGACATTCCAACAGTTTAGGGTCTGCAAGAACTGAAGATATCTATAGAACATAGCAGGGGTCAGTAGTCAGATGCCGCCCATGCGTCTGCTTCAGGGGGGAGGGGGGGGTGTGTGCAGCTGCGTCCAACAGAAGTCGTACGGCGGTCAAAACCATCGCCAGTCGCGGCCAGGGCTCAAGGGACCACCATCACAAGTCTAATTTTGGAACTGCTGCAAGTAGAACAGTCAAGTTGCAGACAGCGCAGGGACCTTTTGGGTCTCCTTGTACTGTCATGGAAGCTCTGGTGTTATTGTGCAGCCTACCTACGGGAGGGAGAGAGGCACATCAGGGTAGTACTCAATGGCGCCGGGCACCATAGCAAAGAGAGAGAGAACATTCAGAGAGGGTTCAAGAGACCTAGGGGATAGATAGGAGAGAGAGAGAGAGAGAGAGAGAGAGAGAGAGAGAGAGAGAGAGATGGATGGACGAACAAATGGACGGATGGACGAGAGAGAGAGAGAGAGAGAGAGAGAGAGAGAGAGAGAGAGAGAGAGAGAGAGAGAGAGAGAGAGAGAGAGAGAGAGACGGACAGATGGATGAACGGACAAATGGACGGACGGACGATGGATGAACAGATGGGTGAACGGACGGATGGATGTACAGACGGACGGACCTACTGATCGACAGATTGACTGACAGATAGACCAACCGACCGACCGGCGGACAGATCGATAGACAGGCAAACAGAGTGAGAGACACACGCACACACCTGCTTGTTGTTCTGTTGATGGCCACCATAACCACTAAAAAGACGAGAGATGAATCTTGTCATCTCATGTGATCAGTGTGTGACATGTGTGCATGATGTGTGGAACGAAGTGGGTATGATCTGATTGCAAGAGGCTAACCCCCTGAAAAACAAGATGAATGAAAGCATGTTCTAAACAACCGTGAAACTCTTCATGAGGCAAGACAATGACAATTTTTGTGTATGATGAAAAACATGATGATGGAAGTGGTGAAATCTTGGTGCTACCTGTGGCAGCTTTAGTATCAGTCATGCACTTCGTTCAGTATCATCTACGGAGCTCTTATGAGCAACACACCATCTTCCGCTTCCCGATTATCGCCAATGGCTAATTTCAACAGCTCCTAATGTTTTGTTTGGTGTTGTTGTATTTTCTTTTTTGGTTTTGGTTTCGCTTGGCTTGGTTTGCTTTGCTTTGCTTTGGTCCAGTTTAGTTTGGTTTTATTTGGTTTCAACTGGTTGGGGTTGCTGAGGGTTATTTGATTTTCTTTGGTTTGTTGGGTTTGTGGGGTTTGTGGGGTTTGTTGGGTTTGTTTGCATAATCATATAAATGATATTGATATCAATAAAAGAAAAGAAAAAAAACAATGCAAGAAATGACTATTAGAATATTTTATATTTTATTAGAAATAACTAGAACTCAATGAATCGAAAGAACGAAATCTGTATTCAAATCAATAAGAATGATATAGTAATAGATACAATCATACTTGCAACCGCACGAGGCGCACATTCGTGCGGAGTTCCGTGCGGAGTTCCGTGCAGGGGTCTGGTCCCACCTAAGTTGTTGAGTTAACTCAGCGTCAGGTTTTCGACGAGGAGTGACAACGTTCGACAGGACGTGGCCGTGCACAGGGCTGAGATCCGATGGTCTGAATTTTTTGCGAAGGGGGATGTTCCTTGGGCTGATTTCAATGTTTTTTTAATTTGTATAACGACTTCGTACCGAGTCCCGCATTGGACGAAAGGCCGCATGGGCAACCGCCACGGAGTTGAGAAAGCTACCCTTCACGGTCGAGGGTAGATATCTCAACGTGCTGAATGTATGATTTAGCATTTTAGGTACATAATTTTTCACCGCGCGCCGTTCCCCGTTTGTCGGGGAGTGTGTCAGTCGCTTTGCGAGGGAAAAAAAAAACGTAACCACCATGCGTGTCAGTCACTTTGTCGGTGTATGTTTCCGTTTTTTTTTTTCGGAGCGAGACCCATATAATAACATCGCGTTGCACGTGGTGCTGAATCCGGTAAGATTCAGCGTCCTGCGTTAGAAGCGAGGGTGAACCCCGCATCACCACCACCATGTTTCCACTTCATTTCTTACGGCCGGCATGATCTATGATTTTCACGAAAAATGCCTGAAATGCATTTTTCAGATTTATTTAATGCTTTCGGGGTGTCACACCGTTGAGGAATCTAAACTCAACGGCCGCAGGTGGGACCAGACCCCAGGGGGTGCCTGTGCGGAATCGTGCAGGTTTTTTATTTTTAATATTATTATTTTATCTTGTTTTGGGAGGGGGAACAGGGGACGTATGACAGGAAGATGGGGATAGGGCGAGGAGAGGGGGATATGGAGAGGAGGAGGAGGAGGTGGACGAGGAGGACGACGAGGATAGCGAGGACGGCGAGGAGGAGTCGAGATGGGGGAGGAGAAGAGATGGACGGAGGGAAAAGAGGAAGGGCAGGAGGAGGAGGACGAGTGGGAGAGGAGACATGGACGGCGAGGAAGGGGAGGACACGAGGAAAGGGAGGACACGAGGAAGGGAAGGAGACGAGGAGGCATGGAAGATGAGGAAGTACGAGGAGGAGGAGGAGACAAGGAGGATGAGGAAGGGCAGGAGGAGGAGGACAAACAGGAGGAGGAGGAGGAGGAGACGAAAAGGAGAAGGGAGGAGGAGACATGGAGGACGAGGAAGGGGAGGAAGAGCAAGGTGAGGCAGTACTCCTGTAATTTTTTTTTTCATCTCGCTTATAATTTTGGCGGGGAGCCTCAAACGCACCGTTTCGACCCTGGCCTTTTTTTTCTTTCTGAGGGGGGTGACGGGTCGTTCTCCGCACACGTCGTGCGCCGCACGGGATTGGTTGGGCGCATGCCCCGCACGTCGGGAACCTCCCGCACGACGTGCGCTTACAAGTATGGATACAATTATCCTATAGGTTTGTTTTGGGTAATTTCGTTTCATTTCCTTCTGTTTTGTTCGTTTCATTCCGTTTTCGTTTCGTTTCATTTCGTTCCGTTTCGTTTCATTTCGTTCCGTTTCGTTTCATTTCAGTTCGGTTCGGTGCGGTTCGGTGCGGTTCGGTTCGCTGCGGTGCGGTTCGGTGCGGTGCGGCTCGGCTCGGCTTGCTTCGTTTGGTTTCATTTCTCATGTGGTTTTTCGTTTTGTTTCATTTTCGCTTCTCGTTTCGTTCCATTTTGTTTCATTTTCGCTTCTCGTTTCATTTCGTTTTGTTTCATTTTCGCTTCTCGTTTCGTTTCGTTTTGTCTTGTTTTGTTTTGTTTGTGATTTGAGGATGTTTCCTCCATTCTCCCCTATCCTTGGGGTCCCGAGCTTCTCTCCAGGGCCGACCACTGTTCTGTTTTCTTTCCTAATCATGACAGTGCACCATGTCTTCAATCTCGCTCAAAGACTCATCCTGGGCAAGAGCTGGAGAAGATTATCCTCAAAAAAAATGGGTGAAGGGATCTCTTGAGGTGCCCATAAGGAGTTTGATTTAGTCCCCCACTCTAGGATTCCTGGTCCATTGCCTTCACCCCCTCCTTACCTTATCCCAAGTTGGATTTTAATACTAGAAAAAAGAAATCATTGATCGAAATTTCTCTTCAATTCAAATCATTCGTACATAGTTTTGGCAAGTGGCCTTCGGCCTACACAGAGGCAAGGGAGTATGAAACAAACTCAATTATTGTCGTAGAAGATCAAGTCCGCTCTGCGTTGAAAAAGGTACCAAGTAGCTAAAAGCAAAACCAGATTTAGCGAAGAACATGAACGAGCGAAATTTCCTCGACATATTTTCTTTGAGCGGCATCAAAGAAAAGACAAAATATGGCTATATGATGGAACCTCCGAGTGACACAAGCAAAATAATGAATGCATCAGTGCGGACAATCAGCACGGTGCGGTTGCAAGTATGCTCTTCACTAGTCTTATGCCACTGATTAACTGCAGCGGCTAGAAAGGCTGCAAACTCCCGATCCTGGTAGACTCGATGCTATACATTTCCTAGGGGAACAGAGGATGTTTTTGTGGTTCCATGCCAGTTTTGTCCTGCCATCTTTTGGCCACAGTTTCCTGTAGCTTCAACATTTCTTGTCTAAAGCTCACATCACAGCTTTAACATAATGACCCACTATGTAGTATGTTACTATGTTCATCAATCTCCCACTCCTACCAGTAGTGGGTCTAACACTAACTCCATTCTACCAAGTTGAACTCCAAGTCCTTAATATTTGTTGATGCTTTGTACATTCTTTTTTGTCCTTCTGCTCCAATGCTCTTACTTGGTGCAAGTTTTCAGTTAAAGATTTCTAATTCTTGATAAGACATCTTCCGGTCTGCTCAGGGTCATACCCGCGCTGATGATCAAGTGCGAACCGTACTGCCAAGCGAACCGAAACGAAAGGAAACAACCAAGTGCGAATCAAAAAGAAAAGACAAGAAACGAAAGAACCAAAATCGACAACCAACTGACCTATCACCATTCTTAACCGCCACAAGACCTGTCCCTACCGTGCATCACCCCTTTCCCATCAAGCAACCCAGATACATAAGCAAGATGTACCCGTTCCGATCCTTTTTTCAAAAATGTGTTTTCGAAATTGGGACTCGTTTCGGTAGCCCTCCAGTGCATGGAAAAAAATCAGGAAACACAAGAGTCTTGTGCCCCCTATGGTGCCCAGTTCGCGCAGAGAACAAAAACGACAGAACAAAAACAACAGAAAGTTCAAGACGACAACTGCTACAGCTGTGATTGTCATAGTTACCTAAGATCAGGAGCCGTCAAATTTCACAAAAATGAAAGACTAAAGCAGACGGCATAGCCAAGGGTCTCGTCTGCATCAGGCTGCGATAGCATGCATGAGCGAATCCCCTCCCCCAAACATTAGCTCCTCACGCTCTCAGCTGCGCGCCTCTGTCTGTCAGTCGTATCCTGCCAGTAGAGTTTTGAGTAGCTCATCATCCATTTTCTTGGCCAACTTGGCCAAGGCGCCCAGACAAACCCGTCATTAGTGTCTCATTGTTTTTCAGAAGTTGTGGACTGTTTTTCCAGATGCAACAGTTGGGGCCAGATGCTGCACTTTGAGAACAGGCGACAGTACAGGGCAGCTTGCGATCTCAGCTTTGGACATTACACGTGCAAGTGCACCTGCCTGGCGCCTTCCACTGTGCGCCAAGCTTTTCTGAACCGCCACCAGTGCACTTTTTTTCCTTTTTGGCAGGTGCCGCCAGCCCTTGGGGTCTGGTAGCCCCGAGCCTCCGAAATTTTCCTAGTTGATGAAAGATTTCTCCACAAGGCTGGGGCCGTATGCTGGTTGTTTAACAAACAGGGCCTTATTGTCCTGGTTACAATCCATTCCTTTCTTCTTTTTTCTTTTTTAAAATACAGAACCTTATGGCTCTGGCTCCTTTTCCATTCGGGGGAGAGTCAGTCAGTCTGGTTCCTATTCCACCGGCAAGTCAATCGGAAGTACATATCGGACTCACACGTGCCCATCCGCTTTACGGTAGGAAAGCCTGAGGGACGGCATTGATTACTTCCCGCCGGAAGGATGTCCCACCCCTCACCCCTGCCTAAGTTAGCCTGATCTCTTAAACTTCTGATTTTAAGACATGGAGGAAGATCCAATATTGTTTTTCCCTGTAGACTTGCTTTGTAAGGCCTCATCTAGCCTGTTCCTCTCAGTTTCCTTTTCTTTTTCTTATTCTTTTTGTTTATAAAGTTATAAACCCCAAGGGGCGGTTGCTAGAGGGGATGATCGCCTAGTTGCCCCTTACAAATTGCGGGAATCTTTTGGAGCACAGTTGGAAGTTGCCTCTTGCAAATTTTGCTACCGTCTTCACCCGAATAGAACGCCCGGTAATTATCGCTGCATCTGGACCGAAAGTTGCGCCAAATACAGCTATAATGACCGGGCGTTCTATTCGGGTGAAGACGGTAGCTGCCTCTTGCAACTGTGCCCCCCAATCTGTTGGTAGTTGCCTCTTGGAACTGTGCTCCAATCTGTTGGTGGGGAGCCACACCTGCTGGAAATCGGGTCCCACGTCCCATTATACAAGTGTTTTTCAAGCTCTACCCGAGGGCCATTACCTGGTTTCGGCTATGACAGCAGGCAGTCAGCTTCTTCAGCTTAGGTCGTACACGTTTCTGGCTACGATCCATTCTGGGGAGCAGCAACCTGGTTCCTTCTCCACTGGCAATTGATCTTTTGTATGGGTGCAGAGCAACAGTCAACCCTCCTAAATGGGAGCAATCAGTGCTATTAAGCCTATTGGGGAGTTCCGCGGCCGTAACGAGGGAACGAGTAAGATGGGTGCACCTGCCACTTTCATACCGTTGTCACACAAGCACATTTCCCAAGTCAGGGAGGAGCAGAGGACAGAGGGTGATGAGTGGCAGAGAGGGGTAAGGAAGGCAAAGAGGGATGCTAAATTTCACTTTTTTTTAACGAGGTTCTGAAAGCAACCCTCGCCAGGGCAGCCTTTGCGAAGTTGGCGCACTGAAAAGCTCCCTCCCTGTTTTGTATTCGGCAGTGCCTGCAGTAAGTTGGCAGTGTCCTCTTGAATAATCTCAGCATCGTTCTGGTGGACGTTTACAGAGAGCGTTTATCACTGACCACACACAGTTTTGCAGAAAGGGACAAGCAGATAGCACGGTAAAACCGGGTAAATGGTAGCACGGTAAAGCCGGGTAAATGCCAAGTCTGTTAGGTGAAAGTTGTGAGTGGAAGGCAGGTGGTACTGCAACATCGGCATGGTTCTGGTGGACTTGTACGCAGAGCACTTATCATTGACAGCAGACGACTTTTTTCTGCAGTTACCACAGTAAATGCCAATTTACTAGGTTAGGCGAAAGTTGAGAGTGGAAGGCAGGTGGTACTGCAACAACATTGACGACGGTTCTTGCACGATTGGAGACCATTCCCAAAGGTATGAGTTAAACCACCAGTACCTGGACGTTTTTAGGCCGTTAATGAGGTGGCTGAATCGGTGCGCCGCACGGGTCCATATGCATTTGCATCAGAGCCTCCCCAGAGGGGGCCTAAGACCCCTGGGGTACTGGTGGTTTAAGGTTGCTTTTGTATCGTTTTGTGTCCAAAGGGGTCTCCCGAGGTGGATGTGCATGTGTCTTGTGGCTGTGAACACCCAGCATAAACGTTTTCCTCTTTCTTTTTTTTTTTTTTTTTTTTTTTTGTAAAACACATCCCCTGCAGTGCATGTGACCCAATTGAAGGCCAACCAATCGTGCACCTTGTCAAAAGAATGCTTAGGCATTCTATATGGATACTAAAACGCCCAGTCAGCATTTTCTTATTATTATAGATGGAGCCTCTCCCCAGGTGCGAGCGGTTTCTGCTTTTATCAGCACCACTAGCACGGGTGGGAGTGTTTAAAAAAATAAAAATAAATAAAAAAGAGGGACGACGCCTCAGCCCGAATTGCTGTGGTGCAAAGGTGAGGGACACCAGACCCGTTTTCAGGCCTGTAATAAGGCAAGGGACCTCTTGAAGAGCAAAAAAA